GGGGCCACGAAGCGCTGTACTGAGCAGGTGAAGCGCATGGAACAAAGGGCTGTGCTGGGTGGCGGTTGGCGCACGCGGGCGGTCCCACAAAGAACTTCGGTAGAGCTCCCAATGTGACCACGAAGCGCTGTACTGGGTGGGTGAAACGCAAAGAAGAAGGGCTGTGCTGGGTGGTGGTTGACGCATGCGGGCGGTCCCACTGGACCTTCGGTGGAGCTCCCGATGGGGCCACGAAGCGTGTGAGGGGTGTGCCGAACTGGGTGTGGACGCGTGCGGGCGGTGGCACTTGAGCCTTCGGTGGAGCTCCCGGTGGGGCCACGATACGTGTGCTGGGTGTGCCGCAGTGCGTGTGGGTGACGCATGCTGGCGGTGGTGCTGGGGCATTCGATGGAGCTTCCTACAAGGCCACAAAACATGTGAGGGGTGTGCGTAAACGAATGTGGGTGACGCATGCGGGCGGTGGCACTAGGGCCTTCGGTGGAGCTCACTATGGGGCCACGAAACGTGTGAGGGGTGTGCCGAAATGGGCGTGGGTGACGAAAGCGGGCGGTGGCACTGGGGCCGTCGGTGGAGCTCCCTACGGGGCTACGAAACGTGTAAGGGTGTGCCGAAATGCGTGTGGGTGACGCATGCGGCGGGTGGCACCTGGGCCTTCGATGGAGCTCACTATGTGGCCACGAAACGAGTGAGGGGTGTGCCAACATGGATGTGTGTGACGCATGCGGGCGGTGGCTCTGGGGCCTTCGGTGGAGCTCCTCATGTGGCCACGAAGCGCTGTACTGAGTGTGTGAAACGCAGGGAGGCTGGAGGAGGGGGAGGAGGAGGAGGAATATGAGGAATTGGTTTACTGGTTTATTAGTTCATTGGTGCTGGAAGGTGGAGGTACGTTTGGACCCCTCCCTGCAGCCGTCTTCGTTGGCCGAGGGGCTGCAGGGAGGTCCTCGGCCCCCTCCGGTGGCAATTGACGCCCTCATGAAAAGTTGAAATAATGGGAGCGGGGACCCACGCGACCCCATTGATGGAAATTGCGCGGGGTGTGGGGCCTATTGACGGTCCTCACAGGCGAAGCCTAATGACGGTCCTCGCCGGGGGGGAAGTGGGGAGGAGCGATGATGTTCAGGATGTCGTCGCCCTCCTTGGCGCACCGTCCTTTCGGGAACGCTTGGAATTGGCGGCCCGAACGTCCACCAAAGATTGCCATAGTCCCCCTCCGCCCCCCCCCGAACGGGGGGACGGGGGGAGAGGACGTGGGACAGGGGAGCATCGGCATAGCATCGGCATGGGTAGTCAGCAGTGGCTCAAGACCCCCCCCCCTTTTTGCCACGCCCCCTTTTGTCAGTAGCGTTGCTGGGGGATCGACTCTTGAAAACACCCTACCGAGATTGAAATTCCGACTACCCCCACCCCCTCACATGAAACACTCATTGCCAATACCGCCCTCAGAGGTCCTTCGGCTTCTCAGGAGGTTGGTGGCGAGGCGAGACATCTTGGACGAAACATGTACAGCAGCAGGGGGAGGGGGACCGAGGGGGAACGAGAGGAGAGAAGGCCGAAGCTCACACGACAGCAGCGGGTGCGATCAGCTTGCAGCTACAAGAGATTGGCTACCGCCCCCGGGGGGCACGATTTGTTAACACCACCGGGGGGCACGATTTGTTAACACCACCCGTGACACGGCTTTGGTCCCTTGGATAAGCCAGTGTCCACCTCTGTCCCGGCCGCGTGGCCGACGACGTGTCCTGACGGCTCCTGGAAGAGTGCGTGCGCCTGGAAGGGAAGACGAGAAACCTGGCAGGGATCAAGCGCACACTGTCGATACTTGAGCAGGGATCGAGCCCCTGAGTTGCGGGCGGCGGTCCTGGCAGGGTCACCTGAAAACGGGGGCGAAAACGTCACCAACACTTTATTTCCGTCGTCTCCTGCGAGCCCCGCGCCGCCGGCCACAAGTGAACGGGCCAACGCAGGCGACCGCCCCAGCCCCCCGAGCATAGACAGAGCCCACACCGAAACCCCAAGGCCCAATGGCCCAACGTGGCCGGCGAGGGTTGCCAGAGGGGACAGGGGCCGGGGAAGTTAGAAGGCGTAGTAGAAAAAGGTCAAGGACCGCATTTGTTTTGCTCAAGGTGAACAATCACAGGTAAACAACTTTTTAAAATATTTGTTTTGTTCGCATTCCGGTCCTTGAAGAGCTCGGCTAATGGGTGGGGAGCGGGCCCGACCGCATGAGTGACACCGCGGCGGCACATGTGACACCGCGGCGGTCCGGGTCGGGCCATCACCTTTGGTGTATTGGTGTACTGATGGGCGCATGACGCCATAAGGTAAAATGGTGTACTGGCATTGACAGGCACCGTCAGCCGGCAGGGGATAAATCCCGTTCACGGCCCCAGCGAGGAATATGAGGAATTGGTTTACTGGTTTATTGGTTCATTGGTGCTGGAAAGTGGAGGTACGTTTGGACCCCTCCCTGCAGCCGTCTTCGTTGGCCGAGGGGCTGCAGGGAGGTCCTCGGCCCCCTCCGGTGGCAATTGACGCCCTCATGGTAAGTTGAAATAGTGGGAGTGGGGACCCACGCGACCCCATTCATGGAAGTTGCGCGGGGTGTGAGGCCTATCGACGGTCCTCACAGGCGAGGCCTAATGACGGTCCTCGCCGGGGGGGAAGTGGGGAGGAGCGATGATGTTCAGGATGTCGTCGCCCTCCTTGGCGCACCGTCCTTTCGGGAACGCCTGGAATTGGCGGCCTGAACGTCCACCAAGGATTGCCATAGTCCCCCTCCGCCCCCCCCGAACGGGGGGACGGGGGGAGGGGACGTGGGACAGGGGAGCATCGGCATAGCATCGGCATGGGTAGTCAGCAGTGGCTCAAGACCCCCCCCCTTTTTGCCACGCCCCCTCTTGTCAGTAGCGTTGCTGGGGGATCGACTCTTGAAAACACCCTACCGAGATTGAAATCCCGACTACCCCCACCCCCATCACATGAAACACTCATTGCCCATACCGCCCTCAGAGGTCCTTCGGCTTCTCAGGAGGGCGGCGGCGAGGCGAGACATCTTGGACGAAACATGTACAGCAGCAGGGGGAGGGGGACCGAGTGGGAACGAGAGGAGAGAAGGCCGAAGCTCACACGACAGCAGCGGGTGCGATCAGCTTGCAGCTACAAGAGATTGGCTACCGCCCCCGGGGGGCACGATTTGTTAACACCACCGGGGGGCACGATTTGTTAACACCACCCGTGACACGGCTTTGGTCCCCTGGATAAGCCAGTGTCCACCTCTGTCCCGGCCGCGTGGCCGACGACGTGTCCTGACGGCTCCTGGAAGAGTGCGTGCGCCTGGAAGGGAAGACGAGAAACCTGGCAGGGATCAAACGCACACTGTCGATACTTGAGCAGGGATCGAGCCCCTGAGTTGCGGGCGGCGGTCCTGGCAGGGTCACCTGAAAACGGGGGCGAAAACGTCACCAACACTTTATTTCCGCCGTCTCCTGCGAGCCCCGCGCCGCTGGCCACAAGTGAACGGGCCAACGCAGGCGACCGCCCCAGCCCCCCGAGCATAGACAGAGCCCACACCGAAACCCCAAGGCCCAATGGCCCAACGTGGCCGGCGAGGGTTGCCAGGGGGGACAGGGGCCGGGGAAGTTAGAAGGCGTAGTAGAAAAAGGTCAAGGACCGCATTTGTTTGGCTCAAGGTGAATAATCACAGGTAAACAACTTGTTTTTTTATTTGTTTTGTTCGCATTCCCGTCCTTGAAGAGCGCGGCTAATGGGTGGGGAGCGGGCCCGACCGCATGAGTGACACCGCGGCGGCACATGTGACACCGCGGCGGCACGGGTCGGGCCATCACCCTTGGTGTATTGGTGTACTGATGGGCGCATGACGCCATAACGTAAAATGGTGTACTGGCATTGACAGGCGCCGTCAGCCGGCAGGGGATAAATCCCGTTCACGGCCCCAACGAGGAATATGAGGAATTGGTTTACTGGTTTATTGGTTCATTGGTGCTGGAAGGTGGAGGTACGTTTGGACCCCACCGTGCAGCCGTCTTCGTTGGCCGAGGGGCTGCAGGGAGGTCCTCGGCCCCCTCCGGTGGCAATTGACGCCCGCATGAAAAGTTGAAATAATGGGAGTGGGGACCCACGCAACCCCATTGATGGAAGTTGCGCGGGGTGTGAGGCCTATCGACGGTCCTCACAGGCGAGGCCTAATGACGGTCCTCGCCGGGGGGGAAGTGGGGAGGAGCGATGATGTTCAGGATGTCGTCGCCCTCCTTGGCGCACCGTCCTTTCGGGAACGCCTGGAATTGGCGGCCTGAACGTCCACCAAGGATTGCCATAGTCCCCCTCCGCCCCCCCCGAACGGGGGGACGGGGGGAGAGGACGTGGGACAGGGGAGCATCGGCATAGCATCGGCATGGGTAGTCAGCAGTGGCTCAAGACCCCCCCCCTTTTTGCCACGCCCCCTTTTGTCAGTAGCGTTGCTGGGGGAACGACTTCTGAAAACACCCTACCGAGATTGAAATTCCGACTACCCCCACCCCCTCACATGAAACACACATTGCCCATACCGCCCTCAGAGGTCCTTCGGCTTCTCAGGAGGGCGGCGGCGAGGCGACACATCTTGGACGAAACATGTACAGCAGCAGGGGGAGGGGGACCGAGGGGGAACGAGAGGAGAGAAGGCCGAAGCTCACACGACAGCAGCGGGTGCGATCAGCTTGCAGCTACAAGAGATTGGCTACAAGAGATTGGCTACAAGAGGAAGGAATGAGGCAAGGAAGGAGGGAACGCGGGGACAGTCTCTTCAAGACGAGGACCCAACACCCAGGATGGCTGATAACAACTCAAGACTCGGTTCCACCACAAGCCCGCTTCCTCCACGGCGATGTAGTGAGATCGTACATGGGATATTCAGCCGGGGAGCACGCCAAGCGCCTCGAGGCGCAGCAAACCAGAGCTGCACTGACACGGACAAGAACCAAACCGGGCGGGCGCGTGCCCTCCTCGTCATCCGCAGGGGACATCATGTCGGCCATCATGGCCTGGCGCGGCGCTGCACCCTGAGGAGGTAGGTGGGTATTATGAGGAGCAGCATGGAGGCACCGAATGGCAACTTGAGACCGAAACTGCGTCGAACCTGCATCGGATGTGCGTCGAACTCACGTCGGATTAGTATGATGTGCGTCGGACTTCCGTCGGAGCATCGCCGCGCGAACGTCGGCCAGTAACACCTTATGGAGCGGACGTGTGGACTAGATGATACAACTATTACGCGTCGCGCGAGTTATCTAATATTCCCTCACAAGGTTGAGAGGCGACTTCTTCAAACCTTCGCAATAACGATTGAGGGCTATTGTGCCCGACTAAAGGGCCCCATGAAGCGGGGCTCAGGGGGATTGGCAAGGGTTAATCAGGCTTTCGGTCACGGGCATGCCAGCGCCAATGCTGCATTCAACCTCCCAAGAAGTGCATGCCAACAAATGAAGGTGGGGTTGAAGCGACGGTGGGCTCAAAGAAAAACATTCGACGGAACGAACGACAATCATGCCGTATGGGGCGAGAAAACAAAAGAAGACGGGAAGGGTAAAGGAGAGAAGCAGCAAATGAAGGACACATCAACAACAACTGCACGCAAGCAACACAATGCGAAACGGCGAAACAACACCTGCAAGTGGAATCCGCACACTTCCTCTCCTGGGCCTCACGCCGGGCCCCATTCTTTCCACCAGCCTGAAGCTTGCAGTTCTGGTCCTCCTTGCAGATCTTCTGGGAACACTTCTGGAAGATGTCGTGGCACGCCTGGGACGTCATGCCTGTGCACCGCTCGTCGTGGAGGGCCCGGACTGCAGAGGCACTCCACGCCGCCCACCCCAGACGAGTGAGGTTGTGGAGAAAACAAAGCTGAAGACATACCATAATAACAAAGGGGATAGGCATAAGATGTCGGAGGTCCGCGCGAATTTCTCGGATCGGCGTTGGAACTCTCCCTCCCTGGCACGCAGAGCGCGCCAGGGGCGGCGCTTAGGCGCCACTAGGGGGGATCCAACCCCGATCAAATAAGTCGTCACGGACCTCCGACACCTTCATGCTTACAATTTATCTACGTCCTCGAAAATGCATGTACAATCAAATGACGACTGGGAGCAGGGAGAATACGGTTAATTATGTTGTGACGACCTGTGCGTCGGTATCTGGGTATCTGGCACCGCGTGGATCAATCAACCTTGAAGGATCGCAACTTCCTGATCGCGCGCGCAATCGTTCAACATCGGCCGATTCCAGCCCACTGGCGTCGTTCAACCTTGAACGCCCGCGCTGGAATGTCAACCGTGTCGACACGACACGAACCTGCTGTAGCCACCACGAGACTTCCGCTAGCCCGTTCTGGACCTAGACCTTCATGGATACTTACGAAGGGTATGGCAACCTTGATCCCAAACTTTGTAGGGCGTTCCACTGGGCAACCAATTGGGCCGTAACTCGGGGATATATGCTCGAAGGGGGGGCCATCCTCGATAGGGGTGTCCGAATAGCCCACCCCGTGGTTCATCCCCTGGTGAATCCTACCCCTGCAGGTCGAACTTGTGCAAAACCAACAGAGGTTCAGAACTTGAAGGGCTTTTGCAACCGAACGGACCTCAACGGGGGTACGATCCCAGAGTGTCGAGTGGACCCGTAGAACGTACATCCGACATTGCGAAAACAAAACATGCATTATTCTTGCACAAGACAAATCCATATGCAGTTGTGAATGGCGCTCTGGTGAACGTCGCCTTCGGTGGAGCTCCCTGCCTGGCAACGGAATGTTGGAGGGGTGGGACGAAATGGATGGCGGGGACGCATGCGAACAGCGCCACTGAGACGTTCAGTGGAGCTCCCTATGGGGCACCGAAGCGAGCAAGGGGTGTGCCGAAATGTGTGGCGGGGACGCATGCGAACACCCCCATTGGGGCCTTCTGTGGAACTCCCTGTGGGGCCACGAAAAGTATGGGGTGTGCCGAAATGGGTGGCGGGGACGCATGCGAACACCGCCTCTGGAGCCTTCGGTGGGTCTCCCTGTGGGGCCGCGAAACGTTTGAGGGCTGTGCCAACCTGGGTGGCGGGGACGCATGCGAACACCGCCACTGGGGCTTTCGGTGGAGCTCCCCATGGGGTCACAAAGCTTGTGAGTGGTGTGCCGAAATGGGTGGCGGGGACGCATGCGAACACCGCCACTCGGGCATTCGGTGGGGCTCCGTGTGGGGACACGAAACGTGTAAGAGGTGCGCCGGCATGGCTGGCGGGAATGCATGCGAACACCGCCACTAGGGCCTTCGGTGGAGCTAACTCCCTCTGAGGCCACGAAACGTGTGAGGGATGTGCCGACATGTGTGGCGGGAACGCGACGCAAATGGTCACAGCCACTGGGGCCTTCGGTGGGTCTCCGTATCTGGCCGCGAAACGTTTGAGGGATGGGCCGAAATGGCTGGCGGGAACGCTTGCGAACACCGTTTCTGAGGCCTTCGGTGGAGCCCTGTGAGGCCACGAAACGTGTGAGGGGTGTGCCGAAATAAGGGTGGATGACGCATGCGGGCGGGGGCACTGGGGCCTTCGGTGGAGCTCCTTGTGGTGCTACGAAACGTGTAAGGGATGTGCCGAAATGTGTGTGTGTGTGTGGGTGACGCATGCGGGCGGTGGCACTGAGGCCTTCGGTGGAGCTCCCTATAGGGCCACGAAACGTGTGAGGGGTGCAATGGATGTGGCCACAAACACGGGGACCTTCGGTGGGGCTCCCTTTCTGGCTGCGAAACACTGAAGGGGTGGACCGAGATGGCTGGCGAACACCGCCACTGAGGCCTTGGGTGGAGCTGGAGCTAGCTTCCTCTGAGGCCACGAAGCGTGTGAGAGATGTGCCGAAATGTGTGGCGGGGACGCGAATGGTCACGGCCACTGGGGCGTTCGGTGGGGCTCCCTATCTGGCCGCGAAACGATGGAGGGGTGGGCCGAAACGGGTGGCGGGGACGCGTGTGGTCACAGCCACTGGGGCCTTCCGTGGAGCTCCCTGTGAGGCCACGAAACGTATGAGGGGTGTGCCGAAATTTGTGGCGGGGCTTCGGTGAAGCTCTCTATGGGGTCACGAAACATGTGAGTGGTGTGCCGGCATGTGTGGCGGGGACGCATGTGGTCACAGCCACTGGGGCACTCGGTGGAGCTGCCTCTGGGTCCAACAAACGTGCGAGGGGTGGGCCGAAATGCGTGGCAGGAGCGCATGCGAACAACGTCACGGGGGCCTTCGGTGGAGCTCCGTATGGGGCCACGAAGCGTGTGAGGGGTGTGCCGAAATGGGTGGCGGGGACGCATGCGAACACCGCCACTCGGGCCTTCGTGGAGGTCCCGGTGGGGCTACCAAACGTTTGAGGGATGAGCCGACATGGGTGGCGGGGACGCATGCGAACACCAGTGGATCTCCCGCTGGGGCCACGAAACGTGTAAGGGGTATATCTATATGATGGAATGATGCGAACAGCCGAGACACGTATGGGGAAGAGCGAGGAGGGGTAGGAGGAAGGTGAGATCAGGTGGGACGCGGTGGCGGGGCGGTGTCTCTCCAAAACGAGGACGACACACTTCAAAAAACGGTAAAATAATTGTCCTAGCGAGGTTCTCATTCATGCGCATCCGTGAATACCGAAGGGATGCGTGGAGCCCCCGATGGGCCCACGAAACGTGTGAAGGGTGTGCCGGAATGATTGGCGGGAACGCATGTGAACACCGCCACTCGGGCCTTCGGTGGAGCTCCCTAAACGGCCACGAAACGTGTGAGGGATGAGCCGGCATGGCTGGCGGGGACGCATGCGAACACCGCCACTGGGGCCTTCGGTGGCGCTCCTTATGTGGCCACGAAACGTTTGAGGGATGAGCCGACATGGGTGGCGGGGGCGCATGCGAACACCGCCACTGGGGCCTCTGGTGGCGCTCCCTATGAGGACACGAAGCGCGTGAGGAGTGTGCCAGAATGACTGGCGGGGACGAACGTGGTCACAACCACTGGGGCCTTCGGTGGAGCTTTATGTAGGGCAACAAAACGTGTGAGGGGTGTCCCGGATCGGGTGGCGGGGACGCGTGTGGTCACAGCCACTGGGGCCTTCCGTGGAGCTCCCTGTGAGGCCACGAAACGTATGAGGGGTGTGCCGAAATTTGTGGCGGGGCTTCGGTGAAGCTCTCTATGGGGTCACGAAGCATGTGAGTGGTGTGCCGGCATGTGTGGCGGGGACGCATGTGGTCACAGCCACTGGGGCACTCGGTGGAGCTGCCTCTGGGTCCAACAAACGTGCGAGGGGTGTGCCGAAATGGGTGGCGGGGACGCATGTGGTCACAGCCACTGGGAGTATGGGATGTGCCGAAATAGCTGGTGGGAACGCATCTGGTCACAGCCACTGGGGCCTTCTGTGGAACTCCCTATGGGGCCACGAAACGTGTGAGGGGTGTGCGGAGATTGGTGGCGGGCACGCATGTGGTCACAGCCACTGGGGCATTCGGTGGAGCTCCTTTGTGGGGCCACGAAACGTGCGAGAGGAGTGCCACCATGAGTGGCGGGGATGCATGCTAACACCACAACTGGGGCCTTCAGGTGGAGCTTCTTGTGGAGTCACGGAACGTGTGAGGGGTGTGCCGAAATGAGTGGCGGGGACGCATGTGGTCACAGCCACTGGGGCCTTCGGTGGTTCTCCCTACGGAGCCACGAAACGCGTGAGTGGTGCCCCGAATCGAAGGATTGCAAAAAAAACCAAGGATTGCAATCCTTGTTTTTTTGCAATCCTTCGTTTAAGTGGCGAGGACGCGCGCATGTGGCCGAGCTCCCCGTGGGGCCACGAAGCGCGGTACTGGGTGCTGTGACATGATGGTCATGCGGAGGCCAGGGGCAGGGCGGGAGGAAGGGCGAGGAGGAGGAGGAGGAGGAGGAGGAGGAGGAGGAGGAGAAACACAGGCGCCGTCGCTTCAAAACGAGGGCCCAAGGCCCATAACCCCAGACACGGCTTTCTCGCGTGTTCTTCGGGCCAGATCGATCTCTGATGGCCCTGGGAACGACACTCGGTGAGCCCCCCCGGTGTGAAACGACTGCCACGCCCAGATCTCCTCAGGGTAGGGCTCGAGAGCGGTCGCAGACCTCCCCAGACCTTCAATACCTTTTGGCTTCCACTCCGGGGTCCCCGAACTCGGGAGCGGCCAAGAGGGGGGTGTCCAAGAGGGGGGGGTGCAAATCATGTCCCGCGGCATGTGCGCGGCCCAACCTCTGGGCAACTTCCCCGGGAACGGCTTTTCCTCCCCGCCTGACTCTTGATGCCCACGGGGCCGGGCGAGGGCCCCCCATCGGCTGACAAACAGCGAGGTCCTCGGCCCCTGTCCGCCCCCCTCCCCCCGGGGCGCGGGCAGCTCGCAGGCTCTGGTCGTGACCCTTCCGTTTCCCAGACGGGCTCTCCGCCGCGCCCCGACGAGGGATCAGCATCCGCGGCGGCGCGCCCAGGGGCAGGCGAGATGGGGCAGGACTCCTCTCTGAAGGCGGGGGCTTCGGGAAGGGCCCGAAGCTCCGAGCCTTCTGGGAAGGCGAGAACGCCCCCTCTGCCTCCCCCCCTTGGCGCGCCGCCCACAGTGGGAACTGGGCGCAACGCGGTGCCCCCTCGGCCCCGGCGGCACAAATCATAAATAGGGGACCACATGCGAACCCTACCCCTACCCCCCACGATTTCTGAGGGGGAGGGTGGGGTTCACTTCGCTCCCCTTCAGAAATTGTGGGGGGTAGGGGTAGGGTCCGCATGTGGCCCCCTAGTAAACCACACGGTGCAACCAAACCCGTCCCAGACGGCCGCCGATACGACTCTTGTCAACCCGCGGTCCCAGAAACCCGACTCTGCCACTCGGCAAGGCAAAGGACTCGGCAAGGCATGGGACTCGGCAGTGCAAGGGACCTCCACTCCCCACTCCTGGGACTTGGAAGATGCCCCCACGTGGTGCTTCGGGCCAAGCTCAGGCACCGCTGCCGGCTGGCTCACGACCATCGCTTTACGAAAGAGGCCAACACAGGGGGGCGGCGCCTTGAAGTCGTGAGGATGCAATGGGGGTCTGCAAATCCGATTCCTCTTCAGAACGGTTACCACACGAACCCTGAAACGAACAACGCTGCGTAGCTGTGTCACTGCATACTACAAGTGAACACCTTACCCATCGAAAGCATACAACTCACCGCTACAACTACAAGGCACACGCACCAAAGACTCGAACACCACACCGAAAACAACTACCCTGATCGGTACCGCGATGCAGAGATGATCGAACTGTTTTGTGAGAGGTGCCCAGGTCCACTCTAAAGCCTTGCAGCTAGAGATGGATATGAAAGCAATGGACCCCAAGACGACACATGGCAATGGGCCCCAAGATGACACATGTGTGGAACGATTCTTTCAAGAAAACAATCGCATGATGAGGCGAACGAACCACCCGTAAACCGATTGCCTGCAACAAAATTCCGCAGCTCAACTGACACATCGCGCACTTCCCGCCCTGACGCGCTAGAGAGATTCGTTGCAGCCAGGCGTATTGGGAATTGGCTTGCGAGGTGCAAAGGCAAAAGAGAGGCGATCGCAAAAGGCAACAACCCACCCCGCTGGCCGCAAGTCTGCTTGCAAATGTCTCGTTCCACGCAGCACTTGTCGAGGTTTTTTTTGGGTTTCGTCGCACCTCGTGTAGCGTGGGCGCACGACACATTGACAGCATATTAAATGATCTAGGCACGACCCAATTACGCACATTCGCCACATACCTCGAATGATTGAGCCGCGGTGCAAGGCCTGAAGAGCTTTGCAGAGAAAGTCAAGACATGTGGAATGTAGAGGGGCAGACTCGGGATTGAAGAGACACATCAAAGAAAGTCAGTGATCACTCAGAAGCGAACAATCAAGGGCGGGAGCAAATATGTGCAGCATGCTGAAGGCCAACCCGACGCGACAATTTTAAGATTTCCAAAGTCATGGTAATGACGTCCACCCACCCACCTGGTTCTCATCGCCCCCCTCCTCAGACAGCCCGCGCTCCACCTGTTTCGATGCGTGTGCTCCCAAAGGTCTGGACAACTTTCCCAATGCTGGCTTTTAATCCTGAATATTTCTTGGCCCCTGCAGGCCGAAAATAGCCAAGAACCGGCAGCTCCATCCTCTTCGGAACCTCGGATCTCCGTGTCCGACACCCCAGCGTCGACTGGATCCGCAGGGGTAGGGCGTGCAACCCGTCGCTGAGGGGGGCTCTGGGGCGCTGTGTGGGGGATGGGGGGTTTGGTGCGCAAAGAAAAACTCGGGAGATGGGGCAGAATCGGATGGGAGAGAGAGGGGGTGGAAGGCAGAGGGTCCATGCTCCCGAGCCCTTTGCCTGTGACCGGGTCGAAATCGGCCATGTTGAAGACATTCATGCCAGAATCCTGCGACTGAGCATCGGCTAACCGGTCCCTACCTCCACTGGCGTGGCCAGGGGGAAATTTGCCAATTTACCCCCTTCGATGGGGACATAGGCTGTTGCGTTTGGGTTTCGACGCGCAAATCGCCACACAGGGTGGTGGGACGGTGGGGATCGGGATGGGGATGGGGTCAGGGGTTACCGGTTAGGGATCGGTCGAACGATACTGAGGGACACAGCGAGCCACCGGGGCGAACCGCGCGCATGAGTTGGCACGTCTGCCGGCTTCATCCCCTGGAACATCAGCATCTCCGCAGTGTCCATCTTCCGATCCACAAGCCTTTGGAAAGTTATACCATATTCGCGTCCCCGAGGCCACAAACCTTTGCAACTTGCTAATGTCTTGCGTCCCCGAGACAACAAGTCCTTGTATATTATTTCCTGCTCGCGTCCACGTGGCCATAAACCCTTACAAATTGCCGAGGCCAAGAGTGCTCCAAGGCGCCCGAAGATGGTTCCAAAACGCCCCAAGACGGCCCAGGAGGGCCCCAAGAAGCCCCAAGAGCGCTCCAAGAGGCCTCCGGAAAGAGCCCGAAGAGGCCAACATCGTCGACTTTACAAAAAGTTGTTGAAGGAGTTTGGGGTTCTCGCGTTTTGGCTTTGAGACGCTCCAGGATGGCTGAAGAAGCTCCCGAGACCGCATCAAAACAGCCCAAGACGCCTCCAAAAGGGCCCCCAGACGGCCCGAGAGGGCTCCAGGATGGTCCCAAAAAACAATCCGAGAAGCCCCCAGGCCCCAAGAGGCGCCCAAGACTCGCCAAAGAAGCCTCCAAGAGGCCCAAAAGATACCCCACGAGGCCCCAAGAGGCCCCCCAAGCGGCCCCCAAGAGGCACAGAAACCGCCTCCCACAGGGGTTCCCGGCGTGCTAGATACTTTCGTTTTTGGTTCTTTTAGACAAACTCTCAAGGCCCCGTAGACCCGGACACGCCAGACCAGGACACCCAACATCCCTCGAAACCAATTTTTCCAGACGGCGGCACGAACAAAATACTGCACTGCAGCATTTCCGAAATAAACCCAGACACAAGCCTCAAAAGCCTGCAAGAACCCCCTAAACCCGGACACAATCCCGAATCCTGCAGTGCAGCAAACAAAACATGCACGGGTGCTGAAAAACGTAACTTTGCAGGAAAAGATGTCGTTTCCTTGGTTTTCCGTGTCCTGGTTTATCTGTGTCCTGGTCTCCGGGGGCCTGAAACTCCCTGTCGGCCCGTCCCGCCGGCCACCCGAAAGGCCGCACAAGGCAGCACAAACCACTCCAACGTCCACAAAAATCCGCCGACCCCTTGGGGTCACGGCGTGTGAGATGCTCCCCCCTCCCCAAACCACTCCCCCGAGGGCCTGGCCCAGCCGGTTTCGAGGAGGGGCGGGAAGGGCGGGCGACAAAGGTGCCAGCCGCACCCTTGGAGCCTCACGGGGCCCCAGAACGGGCCAAAGGGCTCCAAAAAGCCCCCCGGACGGTCCAAGAGGGTTACGAGTCGCCGAGTGATCGCTCCAAGACGCCCAAGATCGCCTCCAGACGGTCCCAGAGGCCCCAAAGACGCCCCAAGAAGCCACCATGAGGCGTCCCCAGATGGCAAAAATCGTCCCATTCCCTATGGGCAGCATGTTTGTTTAAGCGCATTCGCCTCTTGGGCTTTCACGAGGCCCACAACGGCCCAATAAGTATTTCAGATCGACCCAAGATAGCCCAAGAGGTCCCCAAAACGTGTCCACGACGGCCCCCAAAGGCCCCAACACGGCCCCAGAGGCTTCCAAAACGACCCAGGAGGACCCCAGGACGGCCCAAAGGGGAGGCCCAGAGGGGCATCCGAATGAACGTTTCGAGTACTCGACCCCGAAGAAATTTGAGGCGGCGCCAATCGGCCCCCACGAGGCCAAGAACAGGCTCCCAGATGCCTCAAAGCAGCTCCCAAGAGGCTTCAAGAGTGCTGCCAGGAGAGCCCAGGGAAACCCAAGAGCAGAGCGGCGATCCGCCAACCGCCTCCGACGAAATCCCAAGGAGATGAAACCCCAAGATTCCCCAGAAATCGCCCGCAAACTCCGCTTTTCACTCTTACTTCCGCCCCAAGGGGTCGGCGGTGCGGCGCCAGCCAATGAATCAACCATCGCCAAAAACAACAATCAGTTTAAGACCGTTCGCCCTTATCTGCTCGAGTGTCCAATAACACGTATTTCCAAAACCCTCAATACCCGCCCTCTGCGTCATCGATCGAACCCCTTTGGGGGGGTATACCTTTCTTCCCTGCAGGCTGGGCCCCGGCAAGCGGCGGGGCGGCCGCGGACCATCGGCCTGGCCAGCGGCAGCGCTGATCGGCGGGGCGGCCGCGGACCGTCGACCCGACCCCAAGAGGGACGGACAGGGGACCGACCACGACGACGACGTCGTTGACGGCGACGACGACGACGACGGCGACGAGCGAAACCGAAAGCGAGAGAGAACGACAGCAGGGCCACAAGGACACGAAGTAGGCCAAGAAGGGCGACAGCGGGGACACGAAGGGAATGCGTATGGGGCAGCGCAGTGCGCGAACGAGCGGGGGCCACGAAGGGCAGAAAATGCGGGGCCACAGAAGGCAACGATTGGGCCACTGAGGGTAGCAACTGGGCCACATAGGACAGTGCGGGGGCCACAAACGGCGACAGCGGGGCCACGAAGGGCGTGCACATGGGGCCACAACTGGGGGCGAACGAGCGGGGGCCACGAAGGGCATACGTATACTGGGCCGCGGAGGGCAAGGCCGGGGCCACTGAGGGCAGAAACGGGGCGCCACGAAAGGCAGCGAGGGGGCCACGAAGGGCGACAGCGGGGCCACGAAGGGCATGCATATGGGGCCACCACGCGCGCGAACGAGCGGGGGCCACGAAAGGCATACATATATGGGGCAACGAAGGGCAGCGAGGGGGCCACGAAGGGATGCAACGGGGCCACGAAGGGCAGCGAGGGGACCACGAAGGGCAGCGAGGGGGCCACGAGGGGCTGCGACGGGGCCACAAAACAAAGCGAGGGGGTCACGAAGGGTTGCAACGGGGCCACGAAACAAAGCGAGGGGGCCACGAAGGGCTGCAACGGGGCCACGAAGGGCAGCGAGGACGCCACGGGGGGCTGCAACGGGGCCACGAAGGACAGCGAGGGGGCCACGAAGGGCTGCAACGGGGCCACGAAACAAAGCGAGGGGGCCACGAAGGGCTGCAACGGGGCCACGAAGGGCAGCGAGATCCCGATTCCTATGTAATCTGCGAGGGAGTCCAGAGCGTGAGCGCGACTCCTGGGTGCCTGGGTGTCGGGAGCACGGCGCTTGAATTCGTTGGTTCAACGGGCCAGAGGCGTGCTAAGATCTCGGGTAACTACTTTAAACATATTTCTAGTTCGCGCGCGCGGGGCGGCCCCTGGGGGCCCCGGACGAAAAATTCCCCGGCTGACCCCCGGCCGGGTCCTGGCCGGGTCCCGGGCGATCGCCAGGGGGAGGCTAATTTTCGCCACCCCTCACGAGGATCGTGGCCTCTGAGGGGGTGGCTGCAATCGACTACCCCCCTCCCGCCCCAAGGGGCCCCCAAGAGCCCCCTAAGAGGCCCCAAGGGAGCCCAAGACGCCGCCAAGGAGCCCCAAGACGCTCCCAAGAAGCCCCCGAGAGGCCACCAAGACAGCCCCAAAAGGCCCCAAATAGCGCTCCAGGGCCGGCGGAATGAGCGAAACGATAAAATGAATTGTAAGAAATTCCAACGTAAGGGCGCTATTCTTCAGTAGGTTGCAAGCAAGTCTCCAGCGAGAGCGCGACTCCAGATCGCCGGGATAGCGAGTCCTGAATAAATTGTAAGGAAGTCCCAAGCGAGAGCGCGATTCCTGAATAAAATGCGAGGACGTCTCGGGCGGGAGCGGGGGTCCTGGCTAAATGGTGAAGAAATCTCAAGCGGGAGACGTTGTTGTTGTAACCCGGAGGCCCGGGGCCCTGTTTGAGCCTCTAGAATTTCCCTGATAAAAGACAGGGTGCGAGCGTCGAGGGGCACACTTTGATGGAGAACAACAATATGCACCGGTGGGGGGGGACCAACAGCAATCATTCTTTGGAAATGAAAACTCTACAACAATAACACGGTGAGGCCGGGCTTCTAGTACCCTGGGGGGCAGGGTGCCTGGTCCTCAATTGCGAAGGGGGGGGTCGCAACCGCAACCAGACAACCAGCACCACCACAAGCTAGCGGAAACGAAAGCATAAGAATTCCCCAGTGGAGTCTCCAATTAAATTTTCAGCAGAACATGCATGTGCGCGCCAGCGAAACGAGCTCCTACAGCAAACCTATCCGATTTCGATTAAAGTTGGATGCAGCTCTAAAGCGATGATTCTAGAGCTGCGCGCAGCTCTAATGGAATGCTACTAAGAGCTGCGTCCAGCTGTAATAGGATCCTGCTAGATCTGCGTGCAGTTCTAATAGGATCCTACTGAAGCTGCGTCCAGCTCTAATAGCATCCTACTAGAGCTGCGTCCAGCTGTCCATAGAATCCTATTAGAGCTGCGTCCGGCTCTAAAAGAATCCTACTAGAGCTGCGTGCAGCTTTAAT